AGGGCTCCAATGTGGCCTTGGCAATGCACAACTAAAGTACAAACAGGGACACCATCCATGCGCAACATGGCACTGTTATCTGATATTTTTCAGCTGTTGATGGAATCAGCTTCTCTTAGAGCTACCACAGAGTTTGGGAAACCTGACTACCAGCCTGCCTCAGAACCATAAAACTGAGTTTTAGAGCTGTACCCTCATTTGGAGATAATAGAATGAGTTGCCTAGTCATAAAAACAGAGACACAAGCTAAACCCATGAATCGAGTCAAGAAGATCCAGCGTTCAACATCCTAAACTGGAAACAATGTATTAAAAATACATCTGCGTCAGCTTAATAGATGAGGAAGGGGTGCGAGGCTGGTCAACTGATAGAATCTGTTTATCCCTTAAGTCTTTGCCTAGAAAGCCTTCTACAAGACAGCAGCTGGATGCATGTAACATCTGCCCAAGATGAGTATTTTTATCGAGACACCATCTCTAGCTTTTACTTAACCAAGAACCCCAAGGCAGGGGGTGTTTTATGTCGGAGTTTGCATCTCCTAGCCTTTGCCTAAAAAGGCATATCCTACAAGGCAGCAGGACATGAAGCAGATTGTACTAGGTTACATGTTACCAGTAGCAGGATAAACCTGACCTGACATCTTGTATTATACATGTTACCAGTAGCATATATATATATAACCCTCCAACTCTAATCCCAACTGCAAAGCAAAATTTTGGAATATATCTTTGAATTCTTTAAAAAAATATTATGCAATTATTAAAAAAAACCTTTTTTGCCAAATATATGAAAAGTTCTTTGAGGGTTAAATAATTTGTATATGCATATGCAATACAGAGAAGTTTTACTATTAAAGTTAGAGTTGCGAGTTTGTTTAGCAACTATGACACAACTTTAAATGTCGCAACTCCAACTCTATGACTACACAACCTCGACTGCTCTGTTCTTTAAGAGCATTGCAATTACAGATATCACTCTGTTTGAAGAATACACTAACATAATTTATATATATATATATATATATATATATATATATATATATATATATATATATATATATATATATATATATATACATATATATATAAATATATATATATATATATATATACACATATATATATAAATATACATAAATATATATATATATATATATATATATATATATATATATATATATATATATATATATATATATATATATATATATATATATATATATATATATATATATATATATATATCAAATAATAATTTAAATGCAGAAATACATCTTTATAATGGAACTTAAAGTTTTATGCTTTTATTGGCAATCATCAGTCATATTATTAAAAATATATAAAATCATTATAAAAAATACAAGTTTAGGGTTGCAACAGCATCTAAGATTAAATATACGATACTCAGCGGAATCAAAGCGAAGTAAAATAAAATTTTTTTCCTTTTTCGAGATGTATTTCCAACAGTATACAACATTTATAAATACACACACATGCAAACACACACACACACACACACACACACACACACACACACACACACACACATATATATATATATATATACATATATATATATATATATATATATATATATATATATATATATATATATATATATATATATATATATATATATATATATATATATATATATATATATATATATATATATATATATATATATATATATATATATATATATATATATATATATATGTATGTATATAGTGAATATGTATGCATCATGTAAACATTATAATATAATGTATAAATCATGTATATATAAATAATTATATATACAACCCACAATGGAAAAATTATCAAATTAAACAAAACAACACAGTAACGAGGTGTCAACATAAGTAATGATCTTAATTATTATTTATACAATCCATGATGGAAAAATCATCTATTGGATGAAACAACACAGGAAAAACAAAATATATACAATTTATTTACTTAATTCTACAGCAAAGATATTACAAATCTTTGCATATATATATATATATATATATATATATATATATATATATATATATATATATATATATATATATATATATATATATATATATTATATAATGTATAACAAAGGCACACAAAATATCATTGCTATTCTATAAAACACAAAGTAAAACGTCTTGGTGCAATTTTGATGTATTTTTTTAAAATTTCCTCATTATACTTGTAACTTAGTTACATCTAATAACTAAACTCAATTTTCTTTTATTTAAAAATGGCATAGATTATATTTTATAGATCATAGAGTATAGAATAAAGAAAATTGAAAAATATCTTCAAACGATAAAAAACTAAACAAAATTAATAATATCAAAATAATTAACCCAAACAAGTAGACATTTTTAACTAACCGAGTTGGCGCATGAATTATATGCGCCAAGTTGATAATATTAATTTTTCTAGTTTTTTTTAAGATAATTAGTACGTCTAATGTAGGTCTTAGCGACGTCAATAGGACATTTAAATATGGAAGTCCTAATATCGTCTTTATATTAACGTCGTAAGGACGTCCTAACAAAGACGTCTTTACCGGACGTCTCGAGGACGGACTAATTTGGTCTTAGACGTCGCGACCTAGTTAAGAAGTCTGTATAACGTTTGATTGACGTCTATGCCCGCTGGGTCATTTGTATTTTGTGTTTTGCCATGAAGACATTTTCGAAGCTCATCTTCTTTAGTAAGGTCCTCAAACACAGGTTTGATCTTATATACAACATCTAAGGGAAGTCCAGGACCTGCCTTGTAGGTATTGGTCCTATTTACTTTGTCGCTGTTGAATTTACACCAATTACTTGCACCCGTTGGGCAATGTGGGTGGTTTCAGTTGTTAACTTTCGATAATGCTACGTGAAATAGAGTTGCAAGCGCTGATGATTTCATGGCAACTAAATTACCAGTATTCTGTCTAATTGCCAAACCAAAGAAATTTTGCAGTCGATCAATTGTCGAATTTGTCAATCTTCCACGACCACCAAGTCCTTTCACTTTTTTTTTCAATTTTCGAAGTCAGGTTCCAACACGCTTCTGGTAGTGTTCAACACATTCTAATTTAGTCACTTGAGTGCCAGGATAAACATCCTTGACACTATTGCAGCTTTTGCTATCTCCGTCACCCAAAAAGTTAATTTATTTTAATTTGTGTTTTTAATTAAATCGCTGGAAAATGCGGTTGGCTACTTCGTATTTCATTCCACTTGCAGAACCAATACAGTTCCTTTTGCAAATATGGGAATTTTTCCACTGGACATAAGCAGTAGGATCTTTTTTAGCAAGGTTTTGATTTAAAGAGCACCCCCTGCAGACTCGACTCCTTACCTCAACATCTAATACTTTCCCACTGTCCAGTTAGAGTGCTGCCAAAACACCATTTAATGAGGAAAAACCCCTGCGCTGCCACACGATACACCAATATCCAAAATCTCATCATCATTTTGACAATTTTGCCTTAAATCAGCTACAGCATCAGCCATTGTTTCCTGTTCAACATCTTCTGTAATATCAGCTATTTTCAAAACAAGTTTATCATAGTTTTTTTGCGTCATTGGCTTTGGCATGTTTATGAGAGTTGTTTTTTACAAGTCTCATATCAAGCAAATTAATTTATTAAATTTTACTGAATATCCAGATCAAATGTGTTTTCTAATATCATTTTTAGATAAATTATTATAATCTAACACAGGTAGTGCATTATTTTAAAGTTTTAAAAATAAAAATCTTTAGTTTTAATGAAAATTTTACAGCGTAGTTGAGAGAACTAAAAGCTAGAAACATGTCATATACAAACTCAAAAGACAGGTTAACTCGAAAAACATCTACTTTTCGTTGTTTCTCAAAAGTAATGTACGTAAAAGTAACATATAACATATTACTATTTTAAAAAAACGCGCGATTCCAAAATTGATAAACTTCATGATGTGGCGAAAAAGTCGCAAAATTTTGATTGTTGCCAAAAATATATAAAAAAAAAATGTCCTAAAGGAGTGATGAATAGTTACAAAAATAAAAAAATAATAATAACGATAAATGTGTGTTTAGATAACATGTCTGATGTCATACTAAAATAGCATGCTGTGGGCTTCTGTACTTACACTAACTATCTTATAGCCTGCTGCCGCAAAGGAGCGCCGCTACATCAACTGCGGGTTTGGGCTTTGGTAGCAATCTTTTCTTTTATTAAAGTTTGCTTTCGTTTTTTTTTTCCTGTAAAAGCCGTATGCTATAAAGATAAGCAAAGCGACTAAGCAATCGCTGAAATTAACTATTTGCAACACTATCCCGTTTTTACTATTTGAGATGCTATTCCTTTTTTTGTTTGTTTTCAACACTATTCATTAAATTCATTTGCGATACTATTACTCTTTTTTGCGACATTAGGCCTTTTAAATTTTTTTGATCATATTCTAAAGTTTATATTTTTTGACACTATTCTTGTCACCAAACTTGATTATAAAAATTTGACTAAAAGATGTGTATTTTTTGCTTGTGTATTTTTATTATTTATATTTTTGTTTGAAATATATATTTTTTTTTTGTTCTTTCTTTAAATCTTTTACAATAATAGTCGTTTTACAATTATAATAATTTCAATAATATAATAGAATGATTACAAGATTAATTAAGTTTGTAAGAGGAAGAATCTCGTAGGTCGTAAGGTCATGTCGTCAAGAACCGCTTTGTTTTTCGTTTCATTTATTGTGTTAAGTATATATATTTTCGTCGAAAGTAAAAATAAATAAACGTAAAAGATATATTACATTCATAAAATAAGTAAAGATTCGATTTTGAAAACTTTCGAATCGTAACTCGAATCATATTTTTAATTTGATTTTTTAATTTAATTACTTTTTTCCTTGTTTCTTTGAAACGCTCTATTACTGTATATGTTGTTTTAGTGTTTAAGATATATTCTTTATTATATAATATATTTAAAACATAGTTTTAAATTGAATGATTATTCTTAGATCATGAGTTATGTGATAATTTTGAATTTGCCACTACTAGTGATACTCAGATAGAATCAGAATCAGAAAGTGTTAACTATTTTAAAAGATTAAAACTTAAGTTAAAAACTTAATTCAAGTATTATTAGTTTTATTTTGATATTATTTATTATAGGAACCACTACCGTTCTTATGCAAGAGAAAATATAATCCAACCAAAAATAACCAACAGAATAGTAAGCAAGTAATTAGTTCTATAACGCAAAAAAAGAAAAAGAAAACAACTTTTATGCATACTCCGCATACTATAGTTCAAGGTATTGATTGTCTGTCTGCAAGTTGTTTTAGAAAGAAAAGATTTTGAAAGTTTTTTTCACAACCAATAAAATGTGTAAACAGTAGTTTACACATTTTATTGGTTGTTAAATAATATATTTTATTTATTTTATGAATGTTTTAGAGTTATTTTTTTATTGTTTTTTATTTCTTTGTTATGACATTTTATTTCATTGGTATGACATTTATCTTTATTATAGCATTTAGTAAAAGCTATTTTATTTCTAGTATTCTAGTATTGATTATTTTTTTACGTGGTTGATTTTTTGATCTAAAAAGTATTAGGATCAGCAATGGCAAGATTTTCCTGAGGAAAGAGAGTATTTTAATATAGTGCAAAGCCAAGGTCGCGTGTGTGTTTTTCCACAGAAAAGAAAAAAGTTGTTTTACCAGTGACGCCTGCATTTGTTTCCCTTATAAGAAAAGCTACTAAAAAAGATTCCTTATCAAATGGAAAGTCTCCCATTATTGAGGAAGGTATGTGAAATATTTGATATTTATTTTGGTATGCATTCATTTTATTAATTAGTAAAAAAAAGCAAGTAATTATCTTTAAGACATAAGAAGAAATATATGTTTTCAAAATCCAATAATTTTGTTTATTTAATAAATAGATATTTTGAAATAGTGTGTTTTGTTCTTGTGTTTTAATGCTTTTAGAAATTAAATAATGTTTGGTTCTTTTGTCTTCCTGTTATATCTTTATTATTAGAATTTCAGAAGAAAGTTTTAAATCCACTGGTAGAAATGAAAGAGATGTTGGTAAAGCTCTTTCCAGTAATTAAAATAATATCACAAAAAATAATCCTGATATTTTATGGATGAATTCACAGCAGTCGTTTAGTAATTATGATGACAGTTTTAATGATTTTTGGGTGAGGTCTGAAGTTAGGTTTTCAAATCATGACTTTTTGCAACTTTTTTATTGCTTTTTTGGGATTATGTATTTGCTTAAGTTAATCTACTTGTAACTTTTTATAAATGTACTAAAAAAATAATGTGATGTAATTATTTTCTTAACCCTTTAGGGATTATGATAACAGTTTAAAGGGGTGATGTCTGAAGTGGTAATTTTTTTAAAACCATTACTTTTTGTATTTTTAAACTATTACTTTTTGCACTTTTTTAAATACTTTTTATATATGTATTATAACTTTTTATATATGTATTATAAAAAGAATGTGATGTAATTATTATCTTAACCCTTTAGGTTAACAAACTTTCTAAAATCAGAGGTAAGACAAATACAAAAAATGTGAACCAAAGATTAGTTAAAAGTAGTTTTAAATAAAAACCTTTTGAGTCCTGTTATTATAGTTTGTTTTAAAAATATGTTTAGCTTATATATCTAAAAGTTTGACTAATTCTAATCAGACATAAATAAACATAAATGTACATAAATAAATATACATATATATGTATATATATATATATATATATATATATATATATATATATATATATATATATATATATATATATATATATATATATATATATATATATATATATATATATATATATATATATAAATTAGTAGAAAATCACTTAGCAAAATTTTTTTTTTTTTTTTTTTTGCTAAGTGATTTTCTACTAATTTGTAATTGCTCTGTTCTTTTAATTAAATGTTCTTTTATCTAAAAGTTTGACTAATTCTAATCAGACATAAAATATTTCTTTTTTTTTTATGTCTGATTAAAATTTTTTTTCTGAAATGTTTTTTTTTTTTTGCATTGAGCTAAAGAACAACCCTAATGTACAAAGGTTGTTTTGTAACGCATACTTTACCTTTTTTTTGCTTTATATATACATACATATATATGTACATAAATAAACATACATATATATGTATATATATATATACACATATATATATATATATATATATATATATATATATATATATATATATATATATATATATATATACATATATATATATATATATATATATATATATATATATATATATATATATATATATATATATATATATATATATATATATATATATATATATATATATATATATATGTATATATATATATATATATAAATTAGTAGAAAATCACTTAGCAAAATTTTTTTTTTGCTAAGTGATTTTCTACTAATTTGTAATTGCTCTGTTCTTTTAAGAACATTGAGCACTCTTTTTGTAGAATACATTTTAAATTGTTTAAGTATATATATATATATATATATATATATATATATATATATATATATATATATATATATATATATATATATATATATATATATATATATATATATATATATATATATATATATATATATATATATAGAGAGAGAGAGAGAGAGAGAGAGAGAGAGAGAGAGAGAGAAAGAGAGTTGCAAAAAAACACGTTTTTTTCCTTTGTGTTTTTTTTTGGCGTTTTTTTTGTTTTTTTTTTATTTATTTTTGGTGTTATATTACTTTTTTTAACAGTTTTTTAGTTTTTTTTCGGCATAAATTTTGGAATAGTTTTCCTTTACTCTAGTATAATTTTAGTATTTGGCCATTAAAGGCACAATTAGATGTATAAACACCAATTTAACATAACTTTTTTATAAAAACTTTAAATTAGCTTTAAGTTAGTTATATATCTAGGCATACTGTATGGAAATGTTTATTTTTTGCTTTGTTGTACTAACAACTGTGATACTCTCATTATATATAAAAACTATTCTTATTCTATAAAAAAGTTACCATTTTCATTTTCATTTCAAAAAAACTATTTTGATAATGTAAATATATTAATGTATAATACCATGCAAATTTAATATCAGACTTCCAATGCTCAAAAAAACTAGCAATCTATCAAGGTTGTTTACTTAATTGAGCATTTGTATATTATGTAGTAATTAAGTCTTACATTGTTTGTTATATCAAAAAAATATATATTGCTAGTAAATAAATATGCCCTTATTAAAAAAAAGCTCTATACTGAATATAATTTCAACGAAAATTTAAAAATTTTCAAATTATTATTATTTACAGAGTTTTCCAGTCCCTATTCACCTGATGATTCGTAGTTTATTTATTTGTAATTTATTTTTTAACAGCATTTTTTTTCTAATTACATTATTTATTTACCTAGATATTTTCATATAGCACTATATCAGAACACTTGCAAAATTCTTTAATATGTTCTGTTTTTTAGGTTCAATTTTCAGACATAATCTTATGGCAAAAGAATCGTTTATCTTTTTCCATTTTACTAATTTGGTTCAGAGGTTTAAATAAATGGGTGACTAAGATTTTTTTTCTGCCCCCTGTATGGAGAGCTTAATCATAATTATTTTTGTTCTTCCTGTTGATTACCAACAAGTAGAACAAAAAAAATTAACTCAATAATTTAAAGGTACCCTTTCTCTTTATATATATATATATATATATATATATATATATATATATATATATATATATATATATATATATATATATATATATATATATATATATATATATATATATATATATTTATATATATATATATATATATATATATATATATATATATATTTATATATATATATATATATATATATATATATATATATATATATGTATATATATATATATATATATATATATATATATATATATATATATATATATATATATATATATATATATATATATATATATATATATATATATATGTATGTATGTATATATGTATGTATATGTAGATATTATGGTGCTTTAAAAATCACTACTCAGTGTTGTTAATGTGGTGTGGTTATTTTTTGTGTTAATCTATTTTTAGATTCTAATTCAGAAAAGCTTTATATAAAATTTCCCTTTATTTGAGTAATAAATTTACCTTTTTAATATAAACATTTTAGGGACCATTTAAACAATATTAGGGACCTGTCGAATAGAAAATGAGCTTAAGTATGAACTAAGTATTGGACAATTAAATTTGGCTGCTCAAAAGAGTTATTATCTCTAGTTCCATTAACAAAAACTCATTCTTGCTGATTGTTTATTATGCTAAATCTCATTCATTAGTTGTTAAATTTTATTAAATATAATAAATAAACAATGTTTATTGTGTCAATATACACTAAAAACAATAAAGATAAAATCGAGGAAGATAAAATTGTAAAAGAAGTTTTTATACAGGACTGCTTTAACTGTGTTAACCTTTAAGCATACCAAAGCAAAAATAAATTCAGTAAATTTCAGTATTTATTGTCCTATTTAAATCATAAATTAAAATATGAATTGAGATATTGCCATTAAAGTTAAATTTAGTAACTTAAACAATGAATTTTTTCAAAAAAAACGACCAAAAAAACGCGTAACATCTCTCTCTCTCTCTCTCTCTCTCTCTATATATATATATATATATATATATATATATATATATATATATATATATATATATATATATATATATAATGTATCAATTTTTAATATAACTATAATAATAATGTATAATGCAGGTTGTTGTCCGATGGTTTATCATCAAACATTTATAAGGTTGTTACTGTTACATCAAGTGTAAAATTATATACTTTTAAAAATCAGAGTTCGTTGCTTTGATACTGTTTTATTTTTAACTTTTTTATGTATTTAATGCAAATTACTAAGGCAATACCTTTTTTTATAGAGAGCATCATGTCAATTAAAGCGACTGCTACAGTTGCCGAAATTGCCGAAAAAAAAAGAAGTAATAATGACTTTATTAAAATATGCACTCGACAGATCAAATGGTGGTGGTCGGTACAAAACAACATTCATACGTTTTCCTAATTGTTCTGGAACTATTGTTAAATAAAACTTTTTTTTTTTAAACATTTTATTTTATTTGCATTGTATATAAAGTCCCTTGAAGCAATTTAGTTGTATCTGATTAATTTACGTGAAGTATATTCTTTGCGCAAATTATTGCTTTTTTTATTGTGTTATTTTATTGCAATTAAAGTTGAGATAATTTTTTAGTTAATTGGATTTTAACCATAATAAAAAACAAAAATCAACGTTGAATTTACGTTGTTTCGACGTTGTTCTAACGTCGTATCAACTACGTATCAACCGAATATCACCTATTCAAAGTTGAAATATGGTTGATAAGTAGTCGATAAGACGTTAGAACAACGTTGAAACAACGTAATCATCAACGTTGTTTCAACGTCGTAGTTTTCAACGATTTTGTTTCCAATTCCACCAAATTTCAACGTTATTTCAAAGTGGCATATGGTCGGTTAGCGACCATATGCCACTTTGTAAAAGAGGCCTTTCATGAGTAAAACTAAGTAAAAGAGGCCTTTCATGAGTAAAACGGTCTTTAAAGTTTAAAAACGTGCAATCTGTTGACGATAAAGAAGTTCTAGTGTACTTTCATTTATACCACCCGATGCAGGATTAGCATAATTAATCTGGCAATGAATAAATGAGTAATAATTGAGTTAAAGTATATTTATTTAAAAAAGGTCTTGATTTGTATAGCATTACTATACTTCTAGCAATTTTTTTTTGATTGTTAACATGATTTTTCCATGTGAGGTTTTCATCAATGTAAACAACCAAGAAATTAGTAACTTTAGTTCTCTTTATTTCAGTATTATCAATATACAAGGAAGATATATTCGAAAATATACAAGGAAGATATATTCAAAAATATACAAGGAAGATATATTCGAAAATATACAAGGAAGATATATTCGAAAATATACAAGGAAGATATATTCGAAAATATACAAGGAAGATATATTCGAAAATATACAAGGAAGATATATTCGAAAATATACAAGGAAGATATATTCGAAAATATTTTTTTGAAGCTGAATAAAAGAGGATTCGTTTAGTTTTTTCGATATTTATTGATAGTTTGTTGTTCCTAGTATGGATCCATATGGAACTCCGTGATATATTTATTGATATATTTATTGATATTTATTGAGGAACTCCATGATATATTTATTGATAGTTTGTTGTTCCTAGTATGGATCCATATGGAACTCCGCATGATATATTTAATAGATTTGATGATGAGGTTGAGTCTATTTTAACAAATTGTTTCCGATTCTTTAAATATTTTTTTAGTAATAATAACACATTCCCTGTGATTCCATAGAGTTGTAGTTTTTTAAAAAGAATTTCGTAATCAGTAGTGTCAAAAGCTTTTGATAAGTCTATGAAGATGCCTAAAGTATATCGTGATTTTTCAATACTTCTAGTAAGTTGAATAAAATTCTAGTAAAATGAATTTGCAATACTTCTAGTAAGTTGAATTATTGCATATTCAGCAGAACTTTTTTTTTTTGAATCCAAATTGATTGTTGTATAATATTTTATTTATAGTTAGATAGTTATATATTCTATTATACAAAATTCTTTTCAAAATATTTGAAAAAACAGGGAGAACTGAAATTGGGCGATAGTTATTGATTTTAGTTAGTTCACCTCCTTTAAAGATTGGAGTAAGTCTAGCTATTTTGAGAGCATCTGGAAATATTACTTGTTTAACTGAATAACTAAAAATTTTAAAAATAATATTTTTAATGATGTAATAAGAACCAATAACAATATTTCAATTGATATCGTCTTGTCCAACCGCTTTATTAAGTTTAATCATTTTGTAGCCAATTCAAGTTCTTCAAATTTTGTTTCAAAAATATTTAGAGAAGAGTTTTAGAAGAGTCTCACTTGCAGTGAGACTTTTCTTAAAGTGACATTAGGGATTACAGTGGCAATAGGGATATTTTTAGCTAAGTTTGGTTTAACTGATACGAAATACTTATTTATTTTGCTTGCTAGTCTAATAGGATTTAAGAGTTCGCCATTCATTTCATTCCATTTTCATTTCCATTTTCATTTAGTAATATATTTGAGTTGTGACCGATAATCCGGTCACAACTCGAATATATTACTATTACTTTTAATGATATAGCTGTCTAAGTGTACCAAGTACACTTAGACAGCTATATTATTATTCAGCATAGTTACATTATATAAATTCCATATATGTCATGTTTAGCTTTAAACGAATTTACAGAAATACCATTAACGACATCAGTAGGTAGTCGATTCCAGTAAAAAGATGCTCTGTTTGTTAAAAAATAATGCCGAGGCAAAAAACTGGTTATTTCGCGATAATATTTCATTTGATGGCCTCTTGTTGATTGATAACTTCTTGACAAAATTTCATTAATTAAATTTACTTTTTCAATTCCATTGAATAATTTATACATTTGAATCAAATTACCCCGAATCCGTCTTATAACTAAAGAAGTGAAACCCATTTTATTTCATCTTTTCTCATAACATAGTTTTTTTAGTGACGATATCATTCTTGTAGCAGAATGCAGTACCTTTTCTAAGAGATTAATTTCATTTTTAAGACATGGAGACTACACAAATACAGCGAATTCAATTAATGGTCTTATAAAAATTATATACACAACAAAAGTTGTGTATATAATTTTTAGTGATTCACTATTTAAACTTAAAAATGTATTCCTCGACATACCCAAAACTTTACTTGCGCATAGAGTAATTTGATTTTGTTTATTTTAAGTCAGAGGTAAATACTACACCAAGATCTTTTTCAGCGACAGTGGTACTTAAAGATATATTTTGCATAAAATAAGTTTTTTTTGAGTTATTTTTACCAAAGTGCATTATCAAACACTTCTCAAAATTAAATTTTAATAGACATTTGTTGGACCAGTTGACAGCTTTATCTAGGTGATTTTACAATAGGTTAACACTTGCTTCACAATCAACCGTTGATAATACTTTTACATAATCAGCATACATTTTCAAAATATTAACAAAGTTCTCAGGTAAATCATTAACATAAATAATAAATGGTAAAGGGCCAATAACCGAGCCTTGCGGGACACCACTAAATGTATCCTTCCAAGATGAGACAATTTCTCCCATGACAACTCTTTGTCTTTTATTTTTTAGAAATGCTTCAATCCATTTTTTCAAAAATTACCAGAAATCTCATAACATTTAAGTTTTATCAGTAGCCTTTTATGGGGCACTGAATCAAATGCCTTTGCGAAGTCTAAGTAAACTACATATACAGGTATATTCTGAGATAAATAATACGAGATTGCATCTAATGTCTCAATAATACGAGATTGCATCTAATGTCTCAATAATACGAGATTGCATCTAATTTCTCAATAAGGTTGGTTAAGCAACATCTTTTTTTAACAAAGCCGTGTTGAGTTTTCGAAAGAAGATTATTTTCATTTAGAAAATTTATAATTAAATCTCGCACAACCCCTACTATAATTTTACAAGGTACAGGAGTGAGTGAAATTGGACGATAATTCAACGGCGACAGTTTACTTCCTTTATTAAATCGAGGACTAATATTGGCTGATTTCCACGGAAC